CGTTGTTTGTGGGTGCATAACATTGTATGATTGACACTTTCCTTCCTTTGGAGTTGAACCTGGCGGTCATTATCCTGGACGAAATCGCCTCCCATTGTATCAGGGCTTTCGTTGCCGTTGGTGACATCATGATAGCCACGCCCTCGGTGTGCGTGTGGTTATCTTCTGGGTGACCGGAGTAGATCACTGACTCACCTGTTGACAATTTGGTGAGTCCACTCCCATTCCATCTGCTCTCACATATTCCCAGCACTTGTATTCCGTATCTTTTCATCTCGTTGGCGATCTGGGCAGCTTTCCCGTCTCGTACATAGTTCGGACGTTCCATGTTCCTACACAGACTTTTTCTTTTGGTGCAAGAGGTTCATTCTGCTGAAGTTCTGTAGCAATTTTGTTTACAGGGTGGGGTTGCTAGCCTCACGCCTGAGAAAAGAATGATTACATTAAGTAAAAGTTTAGAGAGAAGCAACTTTTTGGGTTGCTCCCCTCAAAATCAGAAAATAACGGACAAACAATGAGAACAACATCAACAAAGGAAACAGTTCACAGAAAAAAGGGCAAAAAGCGACGACAACTATACAATAAGACAACATGCAATATAGTTCAGTACAGTTAACTAAAATGATATCTTAACCATAAACTCACTGACTTGGAGCAACTTGAACATATAAATCCAACAATATATACAATTATAGATGTGTTTATGTTTAAAAATTCCACAAATCCAATTAGTTAGTTATGTGTATTATCTGTCAATAAGATTGTATTTTTTGGATTCAGTGTTCGAAAGGTTAATAATTGTGACAGTTTCCGCAAACTCTGGCATAAAATTTTACAGAAATAAGAGTTTTCATTAATAAGCAAACTGTAGCGTAGTAGTCCCAAAGTGTATTGGTCGTGATGGAAAAAAACGGGTGGATAACGTTTTTGCCGGAGAGCGCGGATGTAGTTGAAGATTGAACGATCAATTCATTGTTGTTTGTTCAAACACAACTCCTCCATATTTTTCGCGGGAGTCATTGATAGTACTGTCATCGTCTCATCGTTCGCTGTTCGGTGAAAGACAGAGAAATATTATCGTGATTTATTGTTATAATATTTATTCTTAGACCTTGTGTAATAACATCATTGTTGCTAACATGTTGGCGTAGGAATAAAGGATTCTTGAGTCGCCAATCAGTGTTCTGGTTTTCGCGTTGGTTAATACAAAGTGTTTCAGAAAGTCTTCGGCGGACAGCGTGAGGTTCAGCGTTTCAAGAGCTGGACATTGACAGTTTATGAGAGCTGGCTGACAGACGTTCTATCCGGCTATCGACCAATAGACGTTCTTTCCATCCTTCTTTATGTCTGTGAGACCTAGCCATTGAGGGTGGAATGAGTGAAAAGTCTGGGTAGCGGTCCTTGATCATAGGTTCCTGCGTTCTATCTCCTGTGTGAGGTGGTATAATAGGATGAGAAATATTGAGGTTAGTCATCGGTCAAGTGCTGGTTAAGGAGGAAAAATCAATAGGCGAGGCTGTGAATTTACATCGACTGAGATGTCTAGGACTTGCCTCCCTAGCCATCGCCTTCCTCGACGGTCAATGTTAGCTGACATAGGATCGTTTAGGTTGCAAAAGAGCCAGTGGTAGTCAAACGGAAGCATGGCATCAGTTAATGAAATCCACGACAATTAGTTTGAGCCACGTATGAAAGTGTAGTTTTCCTGGTTGGAGTCCTCTTGAAGGTAAACCCATTGACTGGAGACAATCGGTGATATGGCTCAAAATCGTTCTCAGTGGCTGGCGCAGATGCATCCACTTTTTGTGACTTATAATAGCGAATGAAACGATGTTGTTCCTCAGTATTACTATTCTTTTTGCCTCATATCTCTGTTTACTATCTCTATTTTGCGTTTCTTTTTACTTTCTCTTGCTTTCTGTGCTAAGTGTGGCGACTCGAAATGCTACACACCTTTACAAAGTTCTTTGTTGAAACCAGCCAGTCAGTCTCTCTAGCCCGTAAAGACGATGTTGGATATTGGATCCGTAGTCCACCTAACGGCTTCATTTAGTTAATTCAGTCCGATATTTCTCAAGTTGCATTCGTCGGTGTATTTTGAAGCTAAGGATGTTTCATTATTTTGTATGGTGTAAGGTAAAGAGAGGCGACTAGTGAATGTGGCTATGGTGCTGTTTGTTATGAGATGAGTAGTGTATGTGTTACGCATACTGACCTATCGACTGTTTTGACTCTGGATATGCGAGGACTTGTAGGCTTAGGGATAACATTGAGTGTTGGTGCAGAAAAACCGCTTATTGACTGGATCCCAGTAGATAGTCATATGTGTACGGTCTGTCTGAACGGGTCCGTTTAGAGAAGAAAGGACTACGCTACCCATCGGTGTCATTTCATAGCCTCTGCATACCACCCGACAGACTAAATTTCGAATGAATTAAAGAATCACTTACCAAAAACCGTCTAGTTTGCTGCAAATGTAAAACACTCAGGAGTAGTCATTTTAGCTGGTGACTTCATTGCCCAAGTAGGGAAGTTATGCCAGACTGAAAAGTATATTTGTGGTACCTACAGAGTTACCTGACCGCGAACCTAGAAAGTTGGTCATCTACTACAGTTGTCTTCAGATAGTTATCTGTTACTAGTCGGCATTAACTTAAGGTAAAAAGAGATATACTGCCTATTACGGCGACCTCCATCACCGAATTAACGTCGGACTCAAACGTACCACACAGCGATAGGCTATCTTTGGCGGGGGGTCAGTGGAAGACTGACAATCCTCCTTAAACGCGTGTGTAGACCCCGATCACCCCGATCCTGGTTTGCGCGCTTTCATGTTTACGATTGATTGTCTCGACTAGATATATTTGCTTGAAATAGCATTGAGTTGTGGAGAGCATTATTTGGAGTGGTGAAACATAAAATGGCAGGAATTCTTGGAATCACTGCCTGTTTGGTTGAATTATGTAGCTTGGTGTAGGTTACACAATTATAGTCCTTGAGGTGCAGAAGTCACTGGTATGTGAAATTTGGGAATATCATGGAAGGTCATTCACAGCGTGACACATTTATCTTTTGTCATCTTTCACATTTTCGTCTGATTATAATCGTTCTTCAAGTATTGGTATTGTAATTACATTTCTATCTACTTGTTTTGCATTTTTGGAAGTTTTATTTACATCATGAAGGGATGAACTTCTGTATGAAGATTAACATTGATTGTCCAATAGGTCGGCCAATGAAAGAAACCAAGTTAAAGTAGTAGTGACTGGCTGGCTTCTTTCAACGTAGAACTTTGCACAGATGTGCGGAAGTTCCAGTTGCCACACTCCCCCTATATAGTACACAAATCAAGAAAAGAGAGTAAAGAGAGGTTTAAAAGGGAAATAATAGACAAGTGTGTGTGAAAAGAAAACAGTACTAGTAATATGGAAGAACAATAGAGTTTTATTGGATATGAAAAATCACAAAGAGTGACTGGATGCATCTGCACCATCAATGAGAATGATTTTGAGCTATATTACCAATTATCTCCAGTGGTCATTGGTTCTTACCACCCTAAGGACCTCAGTCAAACAGCCAGCCACCCAGTGTACAGCCGCCTTCGTGGCTGGCTGGCTCAAACTAAATGTTATGAATTTCGTTGTCTGAAGAAGTCGTGTTTTCGTTTCACCACCACTACCTTTTCTCAGAACTCACCGATAATATATTAGCTAGCTGAGATTGCCCGTTGAGTAAGGCGACCGATGACCAGGCTAGTATGCGTAACACCTCCTCCTCCTTACCCGGCGTTCTACCGATGCCTAACCTCAATACAGTATTACTCACCGTATCATACCATACCAGCTAACACGGAATGTAGGTACAACACAGACACATATGATGAAAGTCAGCTAACCAGGCTTTCCATGTCTTTCACTGTCAGGGGTCACGTTTCACTCACAGCTATAAAAGAGTAGGTGGGAGCGAATTGGTGAGCAGTATGCACGCTTTTGGTCGACAGCCAGCTGGATATCACGTCTACGCCAGAGATGGTTTAAGTTGTCAGTCGAGTGCCAGACAAGTCTCCTGTATGCATTCTGAGATTTCGTCAGCGATCAACGCACTGGGACTGCCTAATGCAACTTCACCGAAAAAATCTTGCATTATGCTAGTAACTGCTTTTAATCAATTCGCTACCCTAGCAATCTTCTTGGTATGAAAGGACTTGCGAGAACATTAGTTCCAGCCAGTGTAGCTTATTGGGTCACTGTCATACAAGCCTGACCATCACGTTAAGGTAGATGGCGGCTGTCGGGCGGTAACTTAAGTTACATAACGTTGAAAATGTCAAGTTATATTTAAAAAATCTTTTTGTAACTCTCTCCATTAGGCTGAAATCTGTGATAATCTGTGTGATTGTCTGTTCATTGATAATCAATAGTGTTCATTTGCGAAATATTTTACTCTGAATATACAAAAATGCTTGATGAATAACGCTGTTTTCTGTGTGTAATCGTGATTTCGTTTCCTTGTTTTTTTCCTCAAAAATACAATAATGATAGATTAAAAATATGCGAACCACTAGTCCTGATATTCTCATCTCTGCTACCCTACTGGTTTGTGCACATCGTATTCACGAAGCAATCGAATTACTGTTAAGTTATGACAAAGTTAAAGAAGCTTTTATTTATTATTTTTTAAATTTTTGATTACAGCATGATTCCACACTGTATTTTTGTTACAAGTGTGGAATTTCCAGCGTGGATATCGGTAGCCCAAATTTCACAGGCCAACCATAGATATCAGGTGTTCGTCGGCGTGAACTCGAACCCCAGACCATGTCCATGGTCGGCGAGAGTCCTAACCACCGTGCGTCTGTGGCACAGCGGTTAGGACATTTAAATTTAAAATCATCAAAAGTTGTAAAATACACAGAAAAGTGCATAAAACGATTAATTGATCGTTCAGGTTCAGTTGAAAAGGCATTCTTTTCAGTTATATTCAATATTGGTTAAAAAACAATGGATAAATGCGACGAAGTTGACATTTCTAAAATACGAACTGGTAAAGAAATTGAACAACTTGCCTGGTGTTGGGTTGGTACTAATCTTCTAAATGCATCATCTTCAAATCATAATGATTATTTGTCAAATGAATGTCTGCGTTTATCATCAGTGTGTTTAACAGTTAGTTTTCGGCTATTTCCAAAAGAACCGCTAGTTCTTAATCGTTGGTATGAAGCATTTTCACGTCTTCTTTCGTCATCATCAGAAACTACGCCCAGCCTGGGTATAGTATGCAGTTTAATGTTATTAAATATCGGTCAGATTGTACATTTCTATATGGCTAGCTATCAGGAAGAGAACGAGGAGGCGGCGGCGCTGGTAGTGAATGGTGAAGAAAATAAGGAGGTCGTCTATGTCTTAAAGATGATTGGATGAAAAGTATAACTAGTGACTGTTTAACATACTTCAGCCAGTTGATTGCAGATCGTCAACCCTCTTCACTATGGGAAGTTCGTTTAACACATTTCTGTATAGATTTTCTATTATTCTATTTAATACACAATCATTATACACTAAATAAACTAGTTCAGTTGGATACTCTAACCGCTTATATTGATCGATATGAGGCTAGTCAAAAGTCTTGTGAGTATATAAACCCGAGAGAAACAAGTCATTTAGTTAGACATTTATTTTGAACCTATAAAAAGGTTTTGATAACCAACGGATTGAATACAGACTCTGAGATATGTTGTAATAATAATATATTCTATTTTGTTCATGAGGGATTCCAGTTTACAGGCATGATAAATATGATAATTTGCATATACGATTAGTAAGCATATTTAATTTTTTGCTGGAGAGTGACAATGTAGTTGAAGATTGAACGATCAATTCATTGTTGTTTGTTCAAACACAACTCCTCCATATTTTTCGCGGGAGTCATTGATAGTACTGTCATCGTCTCATCGTTCGCTGTTCGGTGAAAGACAGAGAAATATTTTATTTTTTTTGATTTACAGCTTGATTCCACACTGTATTTTTGGTACAAGTATGGAATTTTCAGCATGGATATCGGTAGCCCAAATTTTGCAGGCCGACCATAGATATCAGGTGTGCGCCGGCGTGGGCTCGAACCCCGGACCATGTGCATGGTCGGCGAGAATCCTAACCACTGTGCCACCGACCACCGTGATTTATTGTTATAATATTTATTCTTAGACCTTGTGTATAATAACCTTATTGTTTGTTACATAATGGCGTAAGAATAAAGGATTCTCGAGTTACCAATCAGTGTTCTGGTTTTCCGCTTTGGTTAATGCAAGCTGTTTCAGAAAGTCTTCCAGGTCCAGCGTGAGGTTCAGCGTATCAAGGGCTGAACAGTGACAGTTTATGTGGGTTGGCTGACACCAGTAAGCAACTGTAGAGAGAAGCTCAGCCAAACATACGTAACCCTAACTTGTGTATGAGATTAATTATCTTCATACAACAATGAGATTTAAGGAAGTTGATAAAAAGGTGTATTATAAATGCTGATTACATTATTCTCCCAATAAATTGCATTGTAATGATGGGAAAAGCCTTTCTGATCCAAATGGAAAAGTACACAGACTAAGTGAGCAAAATTAACAACAATTTTTCAGGTTTTTGAACATTTCGCGTGAACTGCGGTTAAAACCTGCGTTCAGCAATTCGTACACTCATAACTTTACCCACTTTTAATCGGAGTCACTGACGAAATTTCGTTGCACTTCTTTATGGCATATCTGGATGTGACGTCTACTCATGATGAGGACGGATCCCACATGCTTAACATTTCAGACAAGTTTGGAGAAGGCATCCACATGATCGAATCAGAGTAATCACATTGACCATTGGCTGAGTACAACCTGTATTATTCAAAAATGAATTAAACATTAAGGAAATCTTCAAGTCTTGATATGTCCGTGCACTCCACGTTTAACTATAGACCTAACAGATTATCTACGAAGGTTTTTACACCCACACATTTATTCGTAGTGAACAGCCAAGCAACGCACAGTCGTACTTGCTGAAAGACTTTCTTGTCAGTGCCAACCGAAGGTTTAGAGTCCCAGGTTTTATTTTTACTTATTCGAATAAGTGCCATATGACACAAGATAATGTATTCAGTATTTAATTTCGTCATGGCACAATAACGGTTCACGTTTTGCTGTCAACGAACAATTACTGTTCTAGGGAATGGAGCAATAACATCTGTAGATAATTTGGGGTGGTTCCTGAATGTGAGCCATGATTCGAAACTGAGAAGCTTTTCAAAGTGCTATTAACATATGATTTAAAATGAGTGAAAAATGTAGTCACTAGGATAGTTGCTGGATTTTCCCACCCTCAAGAGAAAAAAATAACGGGAGATTGAGAATCTTTACAGGCTTATTAGCTTAGAAGCTCAAGAATGTCGATGGTCAGGCAACAAATGTAGATAAATCACAAGGCTACCGCTAGCCATAAATAACATATTCCAGTAGTTGTTTAAATATAATGATAAGTTTCTTGATTTCGCAATGTTTACAGAATAATGAGGAAAATTTCCATTATTTGTGGGCAACTGGTAAAATATAAACATCAATAATTTGATCCCTTCCACAGTGTATAAACTTTTCACAAACATTAACTACCCGTCCTTTCTAATGTCTGGCGGTGAATAGACTTTTGGCCCACTTATATACTCCAGGTCACGGTATGTAGATACTGATTGCTATTATCGAAGTCCAGTATACACACCTGTGAATGTTTATGGTTGGTAAAGCTCTAACTAGTATTTTTTCTATGACAACTGCAGCACAACATTTAAAAGCGCGCCTTCTGACATCAATAGCTAAATATTTCTTGAATAGATGATATAAAATTTTTATCTCAAAACAATGTATTGTTTCATTGTTTCTACGCTACAACAATAGAGTAACAACTTCTTTCACTGTGTTGAATGCCATAGATTTAAGTGGGTACGCCGTGGCTGCTTCTTTGATTCCCACCTGTTAGTATCAGGATGAAAGTTACTTTCAAGACGTTGAAGCAGCAGACGTTCGTTTTAGAACTTAAGGAAGATGATTTAGTAAGTTACTGTTTAGTACATTGTGATGTGCAGGTTGGTGATGTTAAAAAAAAAATCGAAGCAGAAATGGGTAGTGAGTTCGATGCAAGCACACAGAAGCTGATACATTCAGGTGAGCATATGGACCTGATTTGATTTTTTTTTAGGGAAAGTTATGGAAGACACTAAGCGTTTGAAAGATTACAGAGTCATGGATTCAGGTTTTGTTGTGGTTATGTCTGTCTCAAAAGCGACCAAAGATACACCTAAAGAACCGACCCTAACCAGTCCTGCCTCTGATAATAAACCTGTTGCAGAGAAGAAAATTACTGTAGTGGATGTTAAGGAGAACATTGGCAGTAAATCGAGTCCTGTCTCCCACAACAGCCCACCTGCAGTTGCCGCCACTCCATCAGATCACTGTAACTCTTTGGGCATTGGTGAAAGTTCACTGGTCACTGGCGAAAATTTTGAGCGAGTTGTTCAGGAATTGGTATCTATGGGTTATGAAAGGTCATCGGTCAGTACCTTTTAAGTATAATAACAATAAATTTAGGTTATCCGTGCAATGAGAGCAGGTTTCAACAATCCAGACAGAGCATTTGAATACCTGTTATCAGGAAACATTCCGAACGTCGACATAGTTGAGCAGTCACCGGCTGAAAGAGAAGGAAGTGAAGGCGTATCTCCAGAAGCACCTGGTGACGTTGATGTCCCGAGCTCTGAGTCAATTAACTCGGATGACCCAATCACAGTTCTTGCTAGTTTACCTCAATTTCAACAAATGAGAGCCCTAGTACAAGCAAATCCTGATCTACTACCACAACTCATTCAACAAATCGGGAATGATAACGCGGATTTGTTCAGGGTAGGTCTCATTTGAATCCGTATATTCCCCTAACTTGTAGATTGACTGTTTTAATTAGCCTATGGTGTGTAGTCCTGAGTCTTCCATAGCATTTGCGTAGACGCTCTTGTACCAGTTTTTATGACTTTCGGGTTGCGTCCGTCCCTACCCTTCACACTGCCTAGCTCGGCGTCATTTAATAGACTTTAGGTTTATCGTGTCACAAATAACTTTATCTTAGTTTCTGACTTGATATCAAAAGCAGATATTTAACAGTATGCTTGTAAGCTATATCTGACGTGTCGACTTATTTACTGTTTTGCTTCTATCATCTAACATTTGGTCTCAAAAAAAATGATAAATGCACACTTCAAAGCTGTTTATCTACTGTTGAATTAATGTGTATAAAATTACACAATATATAAAATATCACCGTAACATGTAAATATATTTTTAGCTCATCCAAGAGAATGAACAAGCATTTTTGGAGTTTTTGAATACTCCAGCCTCCGGTACCCCCGTCCTCCTGGTCAGCGTCAAACTGTGCTTACGATGACTGCTGACGAACGTGCTGCCGTGGACCGTTTAAAAGCTTTAGGCTTCCCTGAGGAGTTGGTTATTCAGGTATGTTCATTGCATTTTCCATGTGTTGATCTATTCAAGGTTGCGTTTTGATGGCATTATTTAGACAGTACAGTGACTTGTTGGAAATATCAACTTCCGTATATTTATTTTGTAGTCCAATACTATTATCTAAGATTGTCTTGTCGTTATTCTAATCTGTGAAACTATTTCACATTGATGTAGTGTCGAACTGTCTGTGCTTAATATTTTTCTTTATAGCTGTAAGTAGGTTCTTGTTCACGAATAAACATTTATTTCCCGAAACATCACATTCTTATATCGACTAATTCAGTAGCAAACCTGATTTACTTGCACCAAATAGTGTGGCACGTAGTCCACTGTTTAAATTGAAACTGCACATCGAAGTTACTTGTCTTAGGCTTCCATATATGCAGTGCTCTCTAATAGGCAGTGCAAACCTCAGATAGTCTTACGGGCACATATATTGTATTGGCATACTAAGACCTTTGTTTAAATAAAAGTCAACGTCAATTGCACAGTGGGTGTGACCAACCGGTATCTTCTATCCTCCTATGGTAGTAGCGTGCGACAGTAACCTAAGAAATATTGCTGCAGGTACTACCATGCTATTAAATTTGCTTGTCTGTCTATTTTCGACATAGAACTTTGTACCGATGTGCAGCAGTTCAAGTTGCCACACCATGTAGCACACAAAGCCAGAGAAGAAAGGAGAAATATAAGAGACAGTAAACAAGGATATGAGACAAAAAGAATAGTAATAACGAAGAGCAATATAGTTTCATTGGAAATTATAAATCGTAAGAACTGGATGCATCTGCGCTATGCCTTGAGAACGATTTCGAGCCAGTAATGTTTACTGATGACGTTTCGAACACAATTTATTACTCATAATCATATCATACGTTAATATGATTATGAGTAATAAATTGTGTTCAAAATGTCATCAGTAGACATTACTGTATAACACTGTGAAACCTTATCAAAACAAATTTTACCCATAGTGTCTTAACCATCTCAGTCGGTGTAACTTCACAGCCTCATCGATTGATTTCCCCTTCCTACATAGCACTCGACGCCTACTCTCAATATTGCTCACCTTATTATTCCACTTCACATGGGAGATAGAATGCAGACACCTATGATCAAAGACAACTAGCTAGGCTTTTCATGTCTTCCACTCTCAATGACCAGGTCTCACAGCCATGAAGGAGGACGAAGCGGACTACTGATCAGTACACACACCTTTTGGTCGATAGCCAGCCGCATATCACATTTTCATCAGAGACGGAGTAAACTGGCATATGCGAAACTAGGCCCCTGTATCCGTGCTGAGATCTCGGCAGCGATCAACCCATTGGGGCTGATGGTACTTCCAAATAAGTGAAGTGGTCGACGTGCTCTACTCTACTTCACTTCCTATTTCTAAACAAGGAGTCAGTGTAGTCCAGTCCTGTAACATCATCTTACATTTGGCGGGAGCGAATCGCATGCCAACCATTCGTAGATTGCAGCTAAAGGCATTCAGAAGACTGCATTTTGTCAGTGTCTTCACCTAAGAACGACTATATCATCTGCATATTCTAAGTCAATGAGACTATTCCTTGGTAACAAGTCAGTCTCTGAAGTCACTTATGGTTAAGATCATTAGTACATCTATGATGAGTTTAAAGAGAAATGGGGACAGTGAGCATCCCTGACGGCCACCACCAATTGTCACCAACTAACTGAAAACTCTCCGTAACTCCTCACCTGGCTGCATGAATTCAAGCACAGTGCCTAGATCAGTGCATTCCTTTTACAGCCAAGCATAGCTAAAGTACCTATCGGTCGACAGAATCGAATGCCGCCCTCAGGTCAAGAAATATAACGATTGTTGGACACTGGCAAGAATGCCTGTGTTCCATCCAGTGTTTTGGAGGGTGGATATATGACCAATACACACTCTGGTCTTAAGCCTGTCTGATTTTCTCGTGTTTGTGCCTCCCGAATACCACTTAGTCTACGCAATATTATTGAGCCTAGCGCTTGAGATACCATATTAGTCAAGCTAATCCCCATGTGATTATCACAGGAAGACTTGTATTCCTTATTATATGTTGGGACTTCCTCTGATTCCCAAACACTGCCTAGTACCTCAGCTAATGCAGATAGTAAACTGTCTCCACCGTACTTAAATACCTCTGGAGTCATTCCATCAGGTCCCGCTGCTATGCCTCGTTCCAGACTAGTGGTAGCCTTAGTAACCTCAGTTAGGGACGAAGGACCTGTCCATATCCCATTCAGGGAGGTGTTGGATGTCCGCCAGGTTGAGCGTGGCTGTAGGCCAATTAAACTGTCCGGCAAAGTGTTCTCTCCAGCGTTCCAGTCGTCCATTCTGGGAGCTAACTGTGCCACCATTTTTCTCCGAGATTGTTTCATTTATCGTTTGCCTTTAACCACCTGTTTCCCCGATAAGCCTAAATAAGATAAGATAATAGCTTTATTCCAAATCAGTACTTGTGATACAGAATGGAATTCTCAGCATTTTTACTACAATATTGCATCCAGTTAGTACGTTAACAATAAATAAAGTTCTACATAGATTAAAGTTATCTCAGTCAGTTTTGACAACAACATATTAGCATGTCCGGTAGCAAAGCCAAAATTTTAAACAGTGTTTGAAGGTGTTAGAAAAGTAGATACTACTAGCATATTTACTGGCGTAAGCGATAGCAAAATGGTCGAGATATACAGTGTGAAAGAACGAACAAGAATGTTTTAAGTAGAGTTTGTAAGGAAGAGAGAAACAAAACGGCACATAACAAAAATAAATACAGAATGAAAGAAAGGTAGAGAGAAAACGTTGTACCTGTAAATGATGTGAGTTGGAAAGACGAGATCTATGTTCTACTGACTATTTAATAAGTCAAAGGTTTCACGCCTAATGCTTTCTTTATCGCACAGAACACGAGCTAAGTAGGGTATGGATGAGTTTTTGTACTTACTAGTGCGGGCATATAGTTTCTTATATAGGCTTCTGGTTTTCCCTAAAGAGATACATGGGAGAGTTGTGAATGTAGAGGGTGTTGTGAGTCAGATAAAATGGATTTCGCCCATTTTTCACATGAGTCCATGTGCCTGTCCACCAGAATATTAACAAGCTGGCTAAGTGGCAAACTGCTTACCCTGCTGACAACCTTTAACATCCTACGTAATAAGGTATAGTCTCTCTTCAATAGCCCAGGAAAGACTAAGGCGGAACAATAGAGAATAATAGGCAGAATACGGGAGTTAACAGATTGTAGGAGTAAGGGTTGTGTTACACCAGAATGTCTTGACTTCTTGATGTAGAAGGTAAGACGGAATATTTTCTTAGAAATCTTAGATATGAGACGACCAGGAAAGATCAGAAGATAGAGTGACGCCTAGGTATTTAATTTCCGACTTGGTCTCTGGTGGTGTTGTCTAGTGTTACCAGTCGCCGATGCCTTTTCCATCTTTTTCGCTTTTGTCGCCCACCACTGTTTACGGTCGTTGTGAAGACTTCTTGTTAGTTCGCGTTTGAACAGCTTTCGGTCCTCATCATAATTTGAGCTCACTGAAATCAGTCTAGCCTCAATCAGTTCGGATGGCTCTTACTAATTTTAAAATTTAGGTTATTAACAGCTTTTACAGCTGTGTCTACAGCTAACTGTACGTTGTGCTAGGCTACCTAAGGGAAAATCATGGTGACATAAGATACACGTGTCTCTATTTCATCCTTAAATAGGGACTGAGTGTCTCGGTCTAATTGGGGACGTCACTGTTTTGATGCCAGCAATTTCTTATGTCCGTTTAGTCGTAAGTATAAACGTGCGCGGACCAGAGCGTGATCGGAGTCTACTCACGTGTTCCGAAAGGAGCGGCGGTCTTCTCCTGACCCTCACCAACCATACCCTATCACTATGTGGTCTATCTGAGTCCAGTGTTGATTTGGTGATGGAGGTCTCCAGGTTACACACTGTCTGTCTTTGTGCCTAAAGTTAGTGACGACTAAGAACAGATGATTTTCTGAACAGAGCTGTAGAAGACGGTCACCGTTGTCGGTTCGTCGGCAGGGAATTCCATACGTACCACCTACATACTTCTCAGTCTGTCACAACTTCCCTAATTAGGCATTGAAGTCGCCTGCTCAAACAACTATATCTAAACGTTTTGCTTTTGGCAGTTAACTAGACAATTTATAGTAGAAATCATCCTATAGTTCATCCGAACTGCAGTCTGTTGGGGCGTAAGCGGAGACTACGAAAAGGCAACGACGGGAAGCGCCATCTTTCCTTCTTTTAACGGACCCATTCAGACGGGACTGCACACATACGACTATCTACTGGGATCCAGTCAAGAAGTGACTTTTCCGCCCTAACACTCAGTGCTATCCCTACACCTGCGAGTCCTCGCGAGCTAGCTGAGGGGTCTCCTGACACCCTTTTGCAGATTCACCCTGTTAATCGGGTGAGGTTAAATGAATGACCACACTCAGATCTTGTATGCGTGTCTTCATGGTTCGAGATGCCAGAGTTCTTGCTAGTGATGCCTGTTGTCCAATTTGGCAGAGGTTCCTGACGTTAAATGCTCCTGTATGAAGTTGGCTTTAAAAGGCTATCTGGGGTGTTTCTATGACTCTCACCGTTGTTTGTGGTCACAGTGAAGTAAATATGACTGTCTAGTATGAAGAATAGTACCGACTATATTAGAAAAGTAAGCTGAGGAAGGTGATGTGAGTAAAGAAGAATGATGCTCGGGAAGGCTTCGTGTGCTCTTGGAAGTGTGTTGGTGGATGTTACTTCCCGGCTGCCCACAACGTGGAAGTTGATTGATTCTTCGGGTACCTGAAACAGAGAGAGGGTTAGTGTTTCGCAACCGCATAGCCCATGGTACAGCTGCTTAAGGCCGGTCACACACGGCCTGTATGTAGTGGTTTCTTGGTTTGGTTCTAACGCCCTCTCTCCAGAGTGGAGAGGCAGCATAGCTGGCATGCTGGCCATCTGAGGGAAACACCCACTGCTGTCGCATCCCTGTTCCCCAACAGTACGACTTCGCCCACAGATCCCCAGGCACTCTCTGGGTTCTGCTCTTTTTCAGCACCTGCGTTTTCTCTTTGAAACACTTCAAGAAAAATTCAATTAGTCCGACCACTGGTAAATCTCAGTGGCTCACGCACTATAATAATCATAGTCCAATGCACCATCTACTGTCTTCATTCTACTTTCATTAAAATCCAATTCTTTCCACTGTAAATACTGTTCATCAGATTGTTCATCTTAATTCTTTACCCATTGCTGAAAACTTGAGACATATTTCTCAGGAGGAAAGTCTTAAGGAAGACATTTTGCGGAGCAATTCGGCTGACCTATAACTGGAATGGCGATGTCGGTCTTTCAACTGTAGCTGAGGTACATAAACTGTCTTTAATCTTAAATGGAATAGAGCAACAAGATATGATTTTATTAGTCGAAAGGTGGTTAAGCATGATAGTGGTGAATTAATGATTCGGCTAACTAGTCCTTACAGATTGTTTATTATCACAGTCCCCATGATAATTGGGGGGATTCCAAAGACGGTAAGGATGAATGGTTGAGGATTGTGTTATATGTCACGCAGACATTTTCAGTGTCACCCATGAATTTAGTCCTAGTTATAATCTAGATTCTGTAAAATCACAAAATCCGTATCGTTATTCTCGCTTCCATGCGTCTACTTTAATCTCACTTTATGTTCTCTGTTTCATTGCGTTCTTTCTCGAAGTATGGTGAATGAAACCGTATAGATCTGCTCACAGCTCTTCGTTCAGCAGTCAGGATGATGGCGAGAACGAGTCGACTGTGCTTTATAGTACAGTTGTCGAAGTTCACTGTCAACTTGTACTACTATAATTGTAAATCATTTAACTACTTTCACATTCCAAAGCTTACTAATAAGTACACTTTTTAATGGTGAAACAATGTTCAGATTCGTGACCAAGTGGTTATAAAACTAAACCCTCAACTACTGCCAAAACTCGACGTCCTTATCAGCCTTTAACTAACCTATCAACGCTCATAAGCCCATCCGTTCGCTTGAATTTGAAGTATGTAAATCCAGTAACAGACAAATCTAGGTTTTGTTTTAATCGCTTGAGGCGATTACGTATGCCACATACATTAATTCCTTTACGTCCTCAGTGGAACAGTGGGGAGCTTGAAGTTTCGGTAGTAGTGATATTTACTGTTAGGGGATGAGGTTGCTAGCCCGATGCCCAACCTTCCATCTTTACCAGTTTTATTACTGGTTTAGAGAGGTATATATATATATATATATATATATATTACCGATGATTAATTGAATCAAACAGGCAGAACGATAGGTACGAACGTTGTACAGGTCAGGTTCAGAGTGATAAGAGGAAAGGGATATAAGTGATTTAAATCATAAAGGATGACAGTTCAGGTACATCACTATAATGAACAAATAGTTATCAAAGAAAGAGCGTTAAAATGTTGCCTGTTCCAAATTCGTTTCGGGGAATAACTGTCTGTTTACATTAATTGTCATTGATAGCCTAATATTGATTCGTACAAATTCGCTAAAAAGCGTCAATGCCCTATGTTTCTCCTCCCATTTGTGTTTCCATAGTTTTGGTCTAAACGAAAGTTGAGGCTACTCCGATACTGTCCACAGGTTTATGGGGTCTTATACTGAGTATTTCAACTGGTTAGCACTAGCTTGCCAGTGTACTCACCAAATGATAAATCGTAGTTATTGTAAGACTATGATTGTAAGTATACAAGTTTAACATATTCTACAATTTACAAATTGTAGATGCACTTCATTTTACAGTTCTCGACGTCGGATTCTGTTAAAATTTTCCTTTGTTAAAAAGTGTTTCGCACGGTCTAGCATATTTAATTGCCACAAGCGATTCTAACAAAACCTAGATTTGTCTGTTGCTGGATTCACATACTTCAAGTTCAAGCAAACGGATGGGCTTATGCGAGTTGACAGGTTAGTTTTACAACCACTTGGCCACGAATCTGAACATTGTTTCACCATGAAAAAGTGTACTTATTGGTAAGCTTTAAAACTTTCACAAAGTCATTGAGTGAAGTTTTGCATTATAACGTATACAGAACTGTTCACATTTTTGAGAAATAACCTGTTTTAGTGTATCTAGGAATCTTTTCGACTGACCCTACGTTTTCCTGGGATACCATGAAGCAGCACATACTTCCTTCCACAACTTGGATCAATGATTAGATGCTAGACGGGATGTAGCCTCTCGGTTTAAACACTGGGTTTGCAGCCAGTGGGTTCAAGTTCGAATCCTGCGCCAACTGTTTCACCCCACGACAGAGTAATGCAATCAGCCCCTCAGAATTCCGACTGACTGACTGGTTACGACATAGAACTTTGCGCAGATGTGCAGCAGTTCCACCTAAACGTAACGGTGACAAATGCCTCCTACAGTTTCTGACACTGCTTTTACTTATTTCTCTTTTCTTGTATCATATGCCTTGGAAATACATGTAGCAGCTCATATCTTGACTGCCCATTTGCATCTCACGTCCCGTTTTGTAATTTCCTAAAATTTCCCATTCTTGTGAAATGGGTGGGGGTGTTGCATTACTGATGCAAATCTTTCAGTTTGTAAACTCGGTGACAGATTTGTTTTATTAGTGGTAAGTGTCGCAATATTATTTCCAAAATTATTATCTGTTAAGAACTGTCTCAATTCCAATCTTCCTCTAGTTTTTGATTATACTACTCGTATGCGTTATTGTTCTTCATCTCCATTAAGGTTAGTTTCGTTCAAACTCTATTGATTCTCTTCACTCATCTTCTTGTCTACCTCTGTGTACTATTTGGAACGTGTCAACTCGAACTGCTGCACTTTGGTGCCAAGTTCTATGTTGAATCCAGGCAGACAGACAGTTTCGTTCCCATACTCTTCTTCTTTGTGTTTTTTGAAGCATGGGAACCCACTGATGCACTTTTCTTAAGACGGACAGTTCGTGTATGCCGTCTGGATAATTGTGGAGATGTAGGTAAATGTTTTAGATATTCCGCTTTCAGCCAGTTCGTTCTAGGTCCAAATCTTGAACCACCTATCTTAGCCTTGACAACGGGGTAGTATTCCCAACCCTCACACACGTAACTCGTCTCTATACCAGGTAAATTGGTTACGAGTAAGTCATCAGAATAATTGTGGTGATTGCCGATTGATTAGGTCGTATTAGATTGCTCTAAAAAATTTTCTATCAGTCTTCCAGTCTTGCATGTTTTCGTTGTATAGTCATTTTCCATTGTTTTATTCCTTATAATACGTGCATTACGTTTGGTAACTTGAACGAAGAATATGGCCACATCAGATATATATATATATATATATATATATATATATATATATATTCAGTAATTGAATTGCTTTATTCTCTGTTCTGTGTTTTGGCATAATTCAGACTTGTACTATGTAGCCCAAAATAGTGAACTGTGTTAAGGATAAAATTTATAAAAATTTCGTTCATATTCTGAGAACTGTTAAGAGTTTGTGTGTCTAGAAAACTATTGCTATTAGCAAATACTGATGTTAGTTCATATCACGCAGTTATGCAGCTCCATTGATCCCACACATTTTTGAAATTACGGATGGAACATTTTTTCCTCACCTGAAGTGTAACTTTTATTCATGCTTTCGTCTTTCAGGCATATTATGCGTGCGAGAAAAATGAGGATGCAGCGGCGAATTTCCTTTTAAGCGAAAACCTGGACGATGAAATGGTATGAATCAGTAAGCATGCTTCAATATTGCTATTTTTGTCGATAGCCGTCGCAGGAGTGTCACGCATACATTTGTACCAAATCTACGTCCATTTTTCCTTTCCGTACAGCCTTACTCTAATTACTTCTCTTCATCAATTCTTATGTTTATCCTTACTAATTCATATTTTCGAAGGTAGTGGTTATAAAACTATATTTATTGTCGTTTATAATGACTTGTCATTTTATTGGTGCACACGTACGGCCTATTGACGTGAAGATATTGCTTGTTTTCTAAGATATTTAGACTTGTTCGTTCATGTGGTATGCAAAACTTTATTTTGCAACAATGTAAACCGCTTTCTATCCTTTTGTTCCACCGTATTCAAATGACTGATTTTGAACTTTTGTTTTTTGGCGTTACTTATGTGGTTTGTATTTGGTACGGCATGAAATGCATGTGGTTCTTCATTTAAAACAGAAGTACCATTAGTTTTATGAATGAAAAATCTAGTTTTAAAATTTTCAAGATCAAAACATCCGTATGTCATTACGAATATATATTTTTCATACTCTGGCATTCTTTTCGTGTTCCTATGTGATGGCCGTCTCACATGTTGGCTGATGGAAGTCTTCCCAATACCCTGCCTAGTATAGTGCATTTTCTAAAATATCGGGTGTTTATCTAAGTTACTAAATGAATCTCGGTCATTCACGCAGTCTCATTTGCTTCCTTCTTTCTGTGGCGGTGAGGAAATCACGAAGATCGAAGCAGTTGCACTAAAGTGAGTGAACTACTGGTCAGCGTACTATCATTTGCACAAAAGAGTATTACAGTGAGAAAACGCAAGCGTATGAGAATCATTTATTGAAAATGACCACATATGCGTCATGGTTAACGAGTTTGAACGTCTTTTTGAGTAGTCACTAACAATCACTCTTCGACACCCATCCACACCGGAGGGCATCTGACTGATATAGCCGCTCAGTGACATCATGAATTGGTCCAGTGTTTTGATCTGAAACCCATTTTCTGTCCTCCAAGTAATTATTTCATTTGAAGCTAAATATTTAGATGATGGGTACTCCAGCTTACGCAGCAAACCACAGTCATCTTAGTGGTACTGTAGTATTTTAACTTCATTGTCTTTATGGGACATAACCTTTTATATCAGCTACGAAAATACCCTATCTCAACGACTTGTAGTTGTTTCTACATAGTCTGCAGTTAGTTGCTGCGTAGGTTGTATCATTATGTTTGCCGGGAATACTTATGATTGTGCAGTTTATAACCTGGTTGTTTTTCAATCTGATGAGAGTCATCAACATGAAGAATAAGAGTGCGAGTCGTTAATGCAATTTCTCAGTTTTCATTTCAGCATCGACAGCTGTTATTATTCCCCTCATTCTGCTCAAACATACTCGTGACTGATGACACCAAATTGTAGTAATGCACATGAATCGAGAAGCGATATGCCATGTCTTTTCTCTTTAGGAACTGTATCTTGGGACAATCATGTGCATGAAATCAGGTCTCCATTACTGAAGCTAATAGTGACACAGATGTTCTGCAAACTATTGCTGAAACTTTACCAATACTTTCGATATGCAGACTCTGTATCGACAGTCTTTTCCTTTTCATACTACGAATAATAACTGAAGTAAGTGAAAACCTTGGTCAGTACAGTACTGTTGTATCTACACATCCGATTGCAAAAACGTCTTAATCTAATTAATTCAACGATTGTATCTGCTTTCTTATATTCCATAATGACACATGTCATTGTACTAAGTAATTATCCTCTGAGGTATGAAAGGCTAGAAAGCATTTTGTCAATAATTGTGTGCGACAAGCTACTTCGAACTATAAATCGATATCAGTTCTCTCTCAGACGCATCTATATTATCTACTTTCTGTGAGTCGGTGGCACAGTGGTTAGGTCTCTCGCAGACCATGCACATGGTCCGGGGTTCGATCCCCTGCCGGCGCACATCTGATATCTATAGTCGGCCCGCAAAATTTGGTCTACCGATATCACATGTTGAAAATTCCATACCTGTTCCAAAAAATACGCTGTGGAATAAAACTGTGATAAAAAAAATAGAAAGTGTTCACAATAAGTGCCGCATTTGTAGATAGCAATCATTGGTTAGAAAGGGAATGAAGAAGCAGATATTTTACCAGTTACATTGAAGCAAAATATCGACAAAATAAAATATGTAAAGTACTAAGAATGCAGCCGAAACATCATTGAAATACAAAATAAAGCGTGATAAATATAGAGACGAAAATAATCCGATCACTAAGTGAGGCTGGCTTAAAGTGGTACTATGTACGAAATTGAAACCAGTCAGGTTTCATGGCATGAAGAGAGTTTATCGATTATATGTTCTCCTCTCAACAGATCGCTGGATATAGGAATACTTACTGAGGTCAGTCAATGGACACATCTTTCGCCCGTGGTTATGTACGGAGCCCGTCAGAATCATTCTTCCTTCGTCTACCAGTTTGGATGAAGTCTCAGAAATCCACTAGCGCATATTAACCTCTGGCTTTTAGTTGACGACAGACTTCACCGCTGCTTATACAGCTGAACGGATGTTATAGTGGGCTTATTCAGGACAAGTGTTACCGCCAATCTTCGTTAAGTGTCTAACATTTTCTTCAAATAAAGACTTGTGTTGTCATCATGTTGAGTTCCTATTGGTTTTATAGATGCTTGATTCATATATCTATTCAGCCACAGCCATATATGTGCATGTGATTCGAGTCTGCATACAATGTTCCACATAGAGCCTCACTTTGTTGTAGTTACGTGATTTGTTTGATCCCATCGTTGATTTGATGATGGGTTTCACTAGGTCAGGAAATATCTTTTTGTTTGAAGCTGGTGCTGACCCGGTTATTTCCCAGCCACCCGCACAATGGTGACTGGTTTCTTTTTAGAATACCTTAAAGAGAAGGAGAATTTGTGTTGCGTGATCACAGAGCTCATGGGACAACTGATTTAGACCTCACATAATTTCTAGATGAGTTAATTTTTAGCTTTACTATTAGTACTGTCACGTCCCTATTCGCTAGCAGCACGAATCCACCGTCAGATCCCCAACATGCTGAAAAACACTTGGCGTTATGTTGACTGCTCTTAGTTTAACGCGACTCAAACGACCTTCCTCGCATGGTGGCACTTGCAGGAACATTTGTACTGGCCAGTGTAGTTCTTTAGCTCATTGTGGTATGCAAACTGATTCTGCACGTCAAAGTAGCTGATATCAGTCGGGAGGTAAAGATCAGAAACACACTTTACTGATAAGTGCGACAATATTTTCGAGTCGCTGCAGACAGCTTGTAGGGAGGTGGGATGATACAACAAGTTAAATGTCAATCAAATATGTATAGTGTCCGTTAGAACACAATGAGCATACAAATGAGAGTCTATTGACCACATACCTGCTACACCTCTTTAGATATAGTCCCAGTAAATTAAATAATGATGGCGTTATTAAATTGATGAATATTATTTTGAGATTGCTTACTACTGATTTGGTTAAACGTATTGGACTTAAGCGTAAAGGAATTAACTATAATCGCAGCATCTTTTGACAACGTAGATAAGAATTCCCCGGGCGTTTTAAAGTGAAAGACCGCTTTCTGAGGATAGTATAAGTGGTTAAGAAACATTATTTTATCTGGCCGCCTGGTTGGAATGTGATGGTACACAGTGCAATGCGTACCTATGTGGATCTTTTGACTGCATATCTGCTTATGAGGTTTGGAAACCCTGTGGTTAAGAACCAGACTTATATTTGGAGGCTGCTGGTTACTTCTCGTTGAAATTCAGTTGTCAGCCGATTGCGGCTCATGGATCTACTAAACTAAAGCCAATTGAGGTAGTTCGCCCAATAATCCGCAACCGATCGTGTTGTTTTTTGCACTTATCAGATGAATAAAGTGGTCAATCTGAAGGAGTATGAACAGGAAGAACGATAATGTGAACAGAATTTATTGTGTTCCAATCTGTACGCTTTGTGAGGGTTCCCTCAAAAACTAACATCAAGTTAACTAGAAGACGACTGCAAAGGAAGATGGTTATTTTGTATAAATGTGGTATTCCTCAGCAGTGAACTGTCAGTAATTTGCAAGATGTAAATTCCAGCGTTTTGATGTTCACCTAGTAGATCGGAGTCGCTTATCCAATTGATGTGACCATCAATGATTGGTTTTCATTTGTTCTCTATTCAATGTTTTATTGTTTTGACAAAGTCCATCTGTTTCATTCCGATTTTACTATAAAGTAGGAGCAATTCAACTGTTACACTATAACATATTTTCATTCTTCTTGATCTTTCTTTTTAGGTATTTAGTGGTATTTTTCCGTGCTAAACTATTTTGCACACCTTTTTGGATGAATTTTCCTTCTTGACATATATCTTCCTGATTTCTATAGTCTTCTAAGTTTTTGGTTTATTTAATGTTTTTAATACTCTACTCTGTCGGTTTCTTCGCCTTTGATATTGTTTCAGACGTCACCTATATTGTTTTCTGACTGTGGAAATTCTTATGAAATTTTAGAGACCTGTTCAGACCACTGCGTTGCAGCACTGGTTGAAGGATAATTACGGTAGATAATTATGGCAGATCTGCGTAGAATTCGATTAACAATGTAACTTAGTGGTTCAGGATATTACCAGATATGACTGAGAGTAGAATGCGTTGGCTTAAATGCTTCAATGGTTTTGTTTCTCTTATTCCTGAACTGTTTTGAAGTAGCCAACAATCGTTCAGGTTTACGTGATATAAAGATTTGCTGTTTCCATGCTTTCGTACACGAAGTACTTAACCTCCTATTGTAATTTTACCAGCTTATGTCGTTTTTCGGTGTTTTGGTCTTTGCCAAGTGCGTTTATAACAGTTATTTCATGGTATGATTAAAGCTAAATGTTGAGTTAACTAAGAGCGCAGAACATTTAACACTCATTTTTTAAAAGGAAACGCAATTATAACGAGAGAGAGTGAAGATTAATTATGTGTTGTACGACACAACAGTCTTCTCAGCGTTTTTCCGAACCAAACCCACTCTCTTCGGCATATTTGTTGGGCGATACGCTCTTGTTTGGTTCGTTGCCAGAGTTATTTATCACTCAAATTTATGGCCCGGCCGACAACTGCTACCTTTCCGTGGTGGTCGCACTTAAATAAAACAGTGACCCAACAAGATGAACTGGCTGGGACTCACGTCCGTGTAGGTCCTACCATGTCAGGGAGGTTGTTTGGATAGCGGTTAGACTAAAAGCAGTTACCATGGGGTACATGGGCTCCAGAATCCAATCGGATCAAATGGCGTATGAACCCATATTGGTCACCGGAAACCATGGAAATGCAGCTCCTGACGCTGCTCCGCTGCCTTGCGGATTAGATTCAAAGTCAAAGGCTCGAGGGGTGGTCCCTTAATAAAACCACCTGCTTCGGTCTGGACGCCCGGGTAGTATCTCAGCCCTCACACAAGAAATGAAGTAAAACAAACTATTATTCGATCTCTCCGCGCGCTCGAAAAGTGATTTCAAGTAATAACGATCCCTCAAGCAACTTATGTCTTTTCAGCCTTACCTTTATTTTTATACTTAGGTTCCTGTATTTTAACTATGCTAACCTTGACTTTTCGACCTTCGATAGCCTTTCACCTTTGTCTGGATTCCCAGCCTATCTGTGTCGTTTCGAGATGTTAGTGAGTAACCCTCAAAATGGTTGTCCCCAATGCGACAT